AAAGTGGAGCACAGGGTAGGGAATAGACACAGGATAGTTTTGGAGCTCAGGAGAGTGCCAATATACAAGAAGGGGAGGGGAATGGAAGAACAAGGTGGATCAGAGAAAACTTAGGTTTGCATGCACTAAGTGGAACAGAGGTAAATAATGATGTATGCACAACCTTGGAACAACAGGTCTCTGGGATACAGGGATTGAGACATGGTTTGAATGGGTTAAAGGTAAGAAATAATGTTAAGATGCTTGGTTGTCTTTTGAAAATTGTTTTCCCTTGCATACCATTGTAAAATAGACACTTGAGGGGGAGAGAAAAGAATAGCCAGAAATATCACCATAGAAAGCTTGTAAGTCTGTCTTGTACCTATAACTGATTGGAATACCTAAAGTGGGGCTACAACAGGCCCAGTGAAGGAGTCTTCCTACAGAGTCTCTGCATTACATAAGACCACAGGTGGAATCCTGAACCCCATCCAGAATCTTCAGAGGTGGGAAATCTCCACTTGAAAGGACAAAGAGACCAGCCTAGAGCAACTAGAAGAACACAAGATACTTCTGGAAAGAAAGACCAACAAGACAAATAAAAAAACAATAACAGTAGCTTGACTGACTACTACAAGAACAAGCAAGTTGCTTGCCCAGTAGACCTCAAGGCAAGTGGTTGGGTCCTCTCAGGACATACCCCCTTCCGAGACTAAGACTCATTGGGAATACACGAGCAGACATACACTCTGATTGGTGACCATGTTGGTCTCCGATAAGGGGAAATGAGAGGAAAAAAGCAATGAAGCTGTGAGCTAAGCCCTACAACGTTTAGTAGACTCCTGTGAATCCAGGTGAACACCTGGTTGGCCAGCAGTGTGGCAAGACCTGGGAACTCTTGGGCCCAGAGTCAGTGACATAGCCACAGAGAACTATAGTAGAGAGTGAAGCATCCAGCAGATAAAAAGTGAGGGGATATGCATAAGAACATACACACTTGCAGATAATACCCACTTGACCTGGCTTCAATGACTGGATGATCTGAGCTCAACTAGAAGAAGAAAGAAGAGGAGAAAAAGAGTAATCTGATACAATTTGATGAACTTGACCTACACCTATGGATACAGTAGCTCAAAAGAGGGAACAAATCTTTACAGTGAGGATCAGTCCCACCCCCTTGGTACACAAGGTAGACAGGGATGGGCAACTTGGACACTGGCTACCCAAAATGGGAGAAAGGGGTACAAAGGCCAGAAGTAACTGGCTTAAAAGCTTTCAAGAGGGAGCCTAGATCCAGAGGGCGTGGAGGAAGGTAGAATCTCCACTGAGTAGTATCCAATCTGGGCAGGGTTGATGAAAGGAGTGGGGGATAGGAATTTTGTAGTACAATAGTGAATAATTGTTATCAGGACTGAATGTGAGGGTTGGAAATGTAAAAGTAGACATTTTATAGCAAAAGGAGGGGAGTGATTGACTTTGCAGTCCAGGAGCTGAGGTCCCTGGGACCATCAAAGGAGAAGAGCAGAGTTCAGGACCCTACCCAGAGAAGCAGTGACACCAGAGATGGAGGCAGAGATGATGACATGGAGAGATGGAGTGGCTGGGGACTCTCGACCCAGAGAGGGAGAGGGGTTGGGTGTTGGTGACCGAGGGGCAGGCTTTCAGGGTGTACTCTTTGGTTGTTTGATGATGCATGGAGGGGATTGTAATCATGGCAATAAAATGATATACGATAGGATGAATGTAGAGCTAATCTTCTCCCATGTAAAGTATCACTTAATTCACAATAAAACATTAAAAAAAAAGTTGGACAATGAATAAGGATGACTATACAAGAATTGATGCATTTGAGTTATGGTGTTAGAGAAGAATATTAAAAGTACCATGGACTGCCAGAAGAACAAACAAATCTGTGTTTGAAGAAGAAAAACCAGGTGTCCCTCAGAAGCCAGGGCAGTGAAACTTCATCACTCATACTTTGGACATACTATCAGGAGGGACCAGTCCATGGAAAGGATCTCATGCTTGGTAAAGTGGAGGGTCTGCATAAAGGAGGAAGACCCCCAATGAGATGGATTGGCACATTGGTAGCAGTAAATGGTTCAAGCATAGCAGCAATTATGAGGATGGCGGCTGACCAGCAGTGTTTCATTCTGTTGTGCAAAAGGGTCGATGTGAGTCAGAACCGACTTGATGGCACCTAACACCAACAACAACACCTGGGATTAAAACACCAAACTTTGAGGTTTCAAGCTGAATCAATAGAATATGAGATTGGGAATCATCAGCAGTGATTAAAATTTATTCCATTTACTAGGTGCAATGGTGAATTACTTGATAGTTCTACTGTCAAATGACTGGGTTATTGTTAAGTGCCATCAAGGTTACAGCCTATAGTGACCCTGTATAGGATTTCCATGGAGGGGCTGGTAAGCTTGAACTGCTGAGCTTGCGCTTCAGATGACTTTTGTTTTTTTTTTCAAACCAAAGGTCTTATGTATTTATTAGCCAGCCTGTTTAACCGTGGAAGCATAAAAATCAAGGAAGAAACCAGAAATTTTGTAAAACATGTTTAATTGATCAAAATCTGATGTGCTAGAGTGTTAGAGTGCTAGGACCCAGGTATATTATGTGCTATGTCATCACATGTGCAACTCCTTAGAGACCCAGCTTGGCTCTTCAGTGTCTTCTCTTGGAGTTGTATCTGATTCTATTACCAGTTTTCATTCAAATCCATTGGGGAATGGGACAATTCTGCTTTTGTTTCTTGGCTTGGAATTTCTCGATCCTGAAAGTCTTATGAGAAGACATAGTGAAGAAGGAACGTAGCAGCACTCACATGATGGTGAAGAAAGGAAGAGTACAAATGACTTTTGCTGTCCAGCACATTAACCCAGAGTGCCACACCAGGACTCTAATAATAATAGTAGTAGTAATAGTAAGTAACATTAATATAGTACTTGCTTTGTGTATGTTCACTATTTTAGTTACTTTACATATGTTGTTGTTAAGTGCTGTTGAGTCAGTTCCAACTCACAGCAACCCTGTCTAGGGTATCTGAGGAGTAGCTGGTAAGTTTGAACTGCCAACCTTGTAGTCTAATACTTAGTCCACATAACAACCATTGGATAAGTACTATTATCTTTCCCATTTTACAAGTGAGAGTGAGGCACAGAGGCGGCTAGGTGACTGCCCAAAATCGTAACTGGTAAGCAGCATGGCCTGAGATTTAATTCCAAGTAATCTGCCTCCAGAGTTTTTACTGGCTTCCTGAAAATATGTATAATATTAACTCAGATGGAAAAAAAGCAAGCTAACCTAGATAAGGTCGATGTAACTATACCCTGAATTACATTATAAAGTAATTTAATTGAGGTCGGCAGTTCAAAATCAACAAGTGCTCCTTGGAATCCCTATAGAGGGTCACAATGAGTTGGAACCAACTCAAATGCACTTAACAACAGCAACAACATGTGGACTTGGCCAAAAAAAAAGCAGAAGAATGAGACAAAAGAAAGGCAGAGGGACAGATGTACAGTACAGGGAAGGGGGAAAAAATAGTAATGTGGCACTGTGGGTCAATGCACTGCACCGAAAGGTCAGTTTGAACCACAAGGCCAGTGGTTCAAACTTACCAGCTGCTCCTTGGAAACCCTAAACAGGGTATCTATGAGTTGGAACTGACTCGGAGGCACTTATCAATCAAAAAACCCAATAGACTGTACGTTCTACTACTCATAGAAATGATGTCCCCAGGCAATAGATACAACTAGGACAGAAGTAGCCATTTTGCAATGAGAAAAGTAATAGCAAGAATATGGAAATCCTAGCTAAACTAGTGAGCCAGGCAGTACCAGAAAGTTCTGAGGAGCGTTTATTATTTAAAATGCATACCAATTATATTAGTTAAGGTGGTGGGAATATTGATGATTTCTTTCTCCCTCTTCCCCCCGCCCCCCAAATTTCTTACACTATCCTTATTTTAGGAGCTCTGATAGCGTAGTGGTCGAAACTACCAGCTGTTTCTCAGGAGAAAGATGAGGCTTTCTGCTCCCATAAAGATTCACAGCCTCAGAAACCCTATGCAAGGACACTGTGAGTCAGAACTGACTCCACTGCACACCATCACTATTACTAAGTTTTTGGAACAAAACTCAAAAAAATAAAAAAGACCAGGCTTATGGGTAAAATAGATGCTTTGTTGTTGTGCCAATGAGTTGATTCTGACCCATAACGACCCTGTATAGTGTTTCTGAGGAGCGATTGGTGAGCTTGAACCAACCTTGTGATTTAAACTGACTTTGCAGTCTAGTGTATTAACCCACAGTACCACACCAGAACTCCAAGATAGACACTAGTGGAACCCTAAGACGATGGCTCTTGGCCACCCTTCAGATCTAGAACTGAACTCACTCTGTGGCTCAATTTTCAGTCAAGCAATAAATAGATATATAGGGTGACAAGAACACTACACTAATAAGGTATGTACAACTAGAATGGTCAACCATTCTAGATCCAAAGGAGAGCATTTACATATGGACAAAGTTGAAAATAGTGGGGAAAGGAAGAAAAGAAACAGGAAACACAGGAGGGAGTGGGATAAATGATGTTATATTAAAGGAATTGCAATCACAGACATGAAACGAAATAAATGATTTTCTGAATTTAAAGCTGTAATGCTCCACTCAATTCATAATGAAAATTTAAAAAACACATACCGAGATCCTAGCATGACCACAATGGCAGCCATGATCCTGCTGCAAGTGACACCCCGCTTCTGTGATCTCAGCGACGGCCTGACTTTACTATTTCAGAGTCTGTTGCAGCCACCAAAGTCCCAGGCATTTCCCTTCTTATTGTGTGGCCTGGCCGTGGAAGCCAAGAAAAACTTATGGGTGCCGTAAGTCCCATGTGAACATGGGTACTATCAGCATGTAGACCACAGCAAAACCATGCTGACAGCAGCCATCAACAAGATTCTAGCCGAGGGTGGTGGGGTCACATTTAAGAAGTACCAGGAGACTAACAATGTACTTGAGGAGAGAGCTCAGGGTATCGTGATTGATGAGGCCCATGTGGAGTAAGTATAGCACAGCCACCCGCCACTGTGCCCACAGAGACTGACCAGGCCATGCAGATTATGTGAATGATGTGATCACATGCACTGCTCCCTCGATGGCTGCATCCTGGAGGTGGTAGCCACTGATGGTCCCGTGCCTCTGACCTGAGAATACCTATCACTGGCCTGACAGATCTAGGTAGAACACATTGTTGTGTAAGTGAACAAGGCAGATGCCGACCAAGATTCCGAGATGGTTGTTGTTGTTAGGTGCCATCGAGTCGGTACCGGCCCATAGTGACCTTATGCACAGCAGAACGAAACACTGCCCGGTCCTGGGCCAACCTCACTATTGTTGCCATGTGTGAGCCCATTGATGCTGCCACTTGGCCAATCCATCTCATTGGGGGTCTTCCTCTTTTTCTCTGACCCTCCACTTTACCAAACATGATGGTATCCTTCTCCAGCGACTGGTCCCTCCTGACAATATGGTGGAGTTGGTCAAACTGGAAATCTGAGAACTGCTCACTGAATTTGGCTATAAAGGGGAGGAGACCCAGGTTAGCCTAGGCTCTGCCCTCTGCCTTGAGCAACATGACCCTGTGTTAGATGTGAAGTGGGTGCAGAAGCTGCTGGATGCTGTGGACGCTTACATCCCAATGCTCACTTAGGACCAAGAGAGTCCATTCACTCTCTCCCTGGTCTGGGCATAGTGGTGACAAGGCATTTGGAAGAAGGGAGAGGAGTATGAGCTCATGGGACATAGTAAGAACACGCACAAGAGCCTGGACAGAACAGAGGTAGGTGATAACCTTGGGACCCTGGTTCGAGCTTTGAAGTGGGAGGACCTGAAGCATGGCCTGGTCATGGTCAAGCCCGGTTCTATAGACCCTTAGCAAAGAGGCTGGTGGTCGCCACAAGCCTTCTGTGTAGACTTTATGCCTGTCATGTTCTTCCTGACTTGGGACATAGCCTGTCATGTTGGGAAGGAGCTTGCCATGCCTGGGGAGGACCTCAAGACCTGGATTTTGAGGCAGTGTTAGAAAAGGGCCACCATTTCACCCTGTGAGATGGCACTGGGCCAATGGCACTGGCCTTGTCACCGACACAGCGGCCTTCACTGAGAAGGACAAGAATCTCAAGTGGACTTTTGTCTATGGACCTCTGCTAAGGATCTGCTCAGGGCTAGTTGCCCCTCTTCTGGTGTCCCCAGGGCCCAAGCTGCAGCCCTTGCCAACCCAGGAGCACACAGTTATATGGACACATCCCCTCTCCAGGAGGAGTGACCTGTCTGCTGGGGCAGGCCAATAAACTATTCAGTGAATTAATAGACTTAAAAAAAAATACATATCAGGTTCAAAGCCAGAAAAATAGGTTTCTTTTTGCTTGACATGAAAATAAAACAAGCTTCCATTTATTTGTAATGTTTTATTCTTTTTAGTTAGAGTCCTGGTGTGGCACTATGGGTTAATGTGCTGGAGTGCAAAGTCAGTTTGAACCACAAGGTTGGCAGTTCAAACTCACCAGATGCTTTTCTATTTAATCATTTAAATGAGTCACTATTTAATTGCTTTCAGAAACGACATAAAAATTCTAGGCTTTGCAAGGCCTGAACTTCTTCCTATCTATCTTACTTTCTGCTGGATATTTTAAACATTTCCCTGAAAATTTTCTTTGGTCAATGTTTCCCCAAGACATCTAATTTTTCATTTTCCTCTCAAAACTGTGTGCAAAAATTTCACTAACCACTTGTCTGGTCGCCTCAATAATTCATTTGATTTCATTACCAATGATTGAGAATCTCCTAAAAGCATTCAAATTCAAAAGAAAACTAAGATATATTGGTAGATAGAAAGATGTTCAGACCATACAGGGCCTAGAATCTGTATTTTCTGAAAGCAACTAAGCAGTGACTCATTGTGGTGCTCCTAAAAACATTCAGGCGTCCTGTTGTGGTGCTGTGGTTATTGCACTGGATTGCACAGTCGGTTTGAACTGCAAGGTTGGTGGTTCAAGCTCATTAGCCACTCCTCAGAAACTTTATACAGGGTCGCTATGAGTTGGAACTGACTCAACAGCACTTAACAACAACAACGAAAGCATTCATATATTTTTATTAAAATTTATTTAAAAATAATAATAATACCTTACATATATTATTTCCCTGTGTGCCAGAAATTGTTTTGTGTGTTTTATATTAATTAATTTACTGGATCCATATAACTCAATGAAGTAAATACTATTGTCTTCATTTTGCAGCTGAGGAAACATTAAATACCTTGCCCAAGATCATACAGTTAGTAAGAAGATTAAAGCCCAGACAGTTTAACTTCAGAAATATAGCAAACATCAGTGGTCTCACCATCAAGCAAAACCTGTTAATACTTCATAGTGGTGTTTTCTGCTCAACTTTTATTAAAAAGAATTGTTTTTGATGTTGTTGTTGTTGTTAAGTGCTGTTGAGTCAGTTCTGACTCATAGTGACCCTATATAGGGTTTCTAAGAAGTGGCTGGTGAGTTTGAACCTCTGACGCTGTGGTTCAAACCGAACTTGTGGTCAAGTCATTTCAGGGCAGTCATTTATTTAAAGATTACTATCTTTAATTCCCAACGGAATGTGGAAATCATCATACAGTATCTTTGATACCCCATGAGAGTAAAGTTTATTAAAGGTAATACAGAACGGCTGCAAGTAAACATTGACAGAGAAATTCCAGAGGTTCAAGCCAGATTCAGAAGAGATGAGGAACGAGAGATATCATTGCTGACATCAGATGGATCTTGGCTGAAAGCAGAGAATGCCAGAAAGATGTTTACCTGTACTTTATTGACTACGCAAAGGTTTTCGATTGTGTGTATCATAACAAGTTATGGAAAACATTGCGAAGTATGAGTATTCCAGAACACTTAATTGTGCTCATGAGGAATCTGTACCTGGACCAAGAGGCAGTTGTTCAAACAGAACATGGGAACACTGAATGGTTTAAAATTAAGAAAGGTATGCGAAAGGGAGGAATCTTTCACCATACTTACTCAACCTGTATGCTGAGCAAATAATCTGAGAAGTTATATGAAGAAAAGCATGGCATCAGCATAGGAGGACATTAACAACCTGCATTATGTCAGTGATACAACCTTACTTGTTGCAAGTGAAGAAGACTTTACTAATGACTATCAAAGACCACAGCCTTTGGTATGAATTGTATCTCAATTTAAAGAAAACAAAAATCCTCACCACTGGACCAATAAGCAACATTCTTATCAATGGAGAAAAGATTGAAGTCGTCAAGGACTTCATTCTTGGATCAACTGTTAACTCTCACGGAAGCAGCAGTCAAGAAATCAGAAGACTTATTGCATTAGGCAAATCTGCTGCACAGGACCTTTTTAAAGTGTTGAAGAGCAAAGATGTCAGCTTGAGGAGTAAGGTGCGCCTGACCCAAGCCATGGTATTTTCAATAACTTCACATGCATGCGAAAGCTGGATAGTGAATAAGGAAGACCGTAGAAGAATTGATGCTTTTGAGTTATGGTGTTAGAGGGGAATATTGAAAATCCCATGGGCTGCCAAAAGAACCAGCAGATCTGTGTTAGAAGAAGTGCAGCCAGAGTGCTCCTTAGAGGGCAGGGTGGCCAAACTTCGTCTCTCATACTTCGGACATATTGTCAGGAGGGACCAGTCACTGGAGAAGGATATTGTTTGGTAAGGTGGAAGGTCAGAGATAAAAAGGAAGACCCCCCAACGAGATGGATTGGCCAAGTGGCAGCATCAATGGGCTCAAACGTGGCAACAATAACAATAGTGAGGTTGGCCCAGGATTGGGCAGTGTTTTGTTCTGTTGTGCATAAGGTCACTATGAGTTGGTACCAACTCGATGGCACCTAACACAACAACATATGGAAATCAGGGAGCATAGTTGCTCCATATGATAGGCAATGGACTGTGAACCACAAGCTTGACAGTTTGAGCTCACCAGCCATTCCAAGGGGAAAAGATGATACTTTTTGCTCCCACAAAGATTTGAAGCTTCGGAAACCCTGTATAGGGTCTCTACTTGTCAGACTCTGGTAGCATAGTGGTTACGAATC